TCTCTTTATCTCAGCCTGTGTTATCACCTCAAGTCTTCTCTGCCGCCAACACCAGCGCAGCGAGACAGATTACACAGGAAGTTGGTCAGGAAATAGTATTGACGGGAGAAAAAAAAAGTTATTCATGGGGAAACTCTGCTCGTATGAGTGACTAACACAGAGCTGGAGTGCTGTAATAGATTTAAGTGAGGAGTTTCAGCTTGAGTCCCGTTATCTGCTGGGAAAATATGAATAAAATACATTTTGATTTTGTTCTTATTGAGCAAATTAGGAAAACGATGAAGGAACTGAAAGATATTTAGTGGAGAATAATAAAAATGTGGAATAGATCGAAGGGGTTACAGGATTTAAAGATACAGCCTCAAACCGAGTTGATCTGAGACACACTGTGRAAGAGAGGCGGGGCTTGTGGAGTTACAAAAATGTGGAAATCAMACCAAAGCTTTGCAGTTCCACTTTCTGGCTGTGTTCAAATTCAGGGTCGGGGTCCTTCGAAGGACCCGACCTACCCGGTCCAGGTGGGGTTCATTTCACTATACCAGGTGGTTTGATTTCTGACAATAATATTAAAAACTTGATACAAATAAACTGGGGAAAGRGGAGGACTCGTTTATCGGCTGCATTAGAGGAGTCCTTGAATTTGTGCAGCCTGCGGAGCAGCGCTGTGACATAAACTGAAGACTAATTCATCCTTCGTAGGACACYGTCCCTGAATTTGTAGCCTGGWAAAAACCAGTCCGTTGTTCTTAGCTTTGCTTCGTACAGAGGGTCTGGACTCCCGCTATAGAGAAGTGATTACTTCCTGGAGGCGTGGCCTCTGTTGAAGTTTAAAATAATTGGATCTGATTTACCCAGTCGCTAACGGTTGGCCACGACGTATGCAGTGCTCCACKGTGAAGGAGGCTAAGCTAAGAAGCTAACCGGAAATTGTGTTTGTGCTGTAAACAACCCTACTGAGAGGAGAGAMGTACCGAGCTGAACCAGACGGCTGTGAAGAAGTCCTGCAGGCTTTGTCAGACAAATTCAATTTAGTTTAAAAGCTTTATCAACACAGACTGGCTTCATTAAAYAAGCAAATCACTGCACAGAAAATCAACGTTGTTCAAAACTCCTCCTCCTGTTCTCTGATTGGACCAGGTAAAATTCTCCTGTGGGAGAAGACCCAGCCGGAGCAAAGAAGGAAACTAGAAGTGAGCGGAGCTGCGAAGGAAAGGGCCAGGCTCCTGAATTTGGACGCAGCCCCTGAATGGTTCAAACGTGAACCAGGAGAATTTAAAAGCTTCAAGCTTCCCGCCTGTAGGAAGTCCTTCCTGTCTGCTGACATCACGTCTGCCACAGCTCAGTCCTGCAGACGTTTGTCATCATGCAAAGCAGGTTCTCCTCCTCGTGTGCAGGAAAACAATTTTTCTATGCAAATGGTTAAAATCCCTGTGAGGACCACCACTGAAACTGTGCTTATGAACGCAGTAATGATGAGTGACGGTGGGCCTCAGACAGAACCTGGCAGGAACAACCTGAGCTTTGGAAATCCTACAGAGGAGAAATCACACGAGTGGTTTGAAATTATTGTTTTTGTTTGTTTTAGTTGGTTTTTGAATAAAAKAAATCGTCAGCTAAACATTTGTGTGGTTTTAGCTGAGTCATCCTCACTAACAGGTCATTTGAGGTAATCATTTAAAACTTTGCAACTGCACGTTTGTCTGTTAGCTAAATATCTTCTGAACCATTAGTTTGATAAAACTCCCGGAAACCTCCTGAAATCAGCACGAGTAAAGATGCCACAGCTAATAAGGCTTTTTAAACACAGAAAGTGGCAAAAACTCTATTATTTTTACAGATGTTGGYATGAAATTTGCCAACAAACCACCTGAGATCTCCTCTTTAGATCATAAATTACTTTATTTTTAAGGTTTGACTACAACTTGGTCATCTCCCCACTTAAAATAATAAAAAATAAAAAAAGGAATTCTGACT